TGTAGACACTATGTACTTTCTCTCTTTTATCTTTGGTGGGGGAGATGAAATGCACAAAAAAAGGAAAGGTCGGAAGATGTACCTTCCGGGCCATTTTTTTTTTTTCCTTAGTTGTTTTCAGATTTCTACTAATTCTGACTGGAGAGAAGTAGATCCATGAGATGATCCGTTTTCTATTGCTTGTATGGGAATGCAGCACAGCAAACCTGCCTCTGAAGTGCTGCTGGTTACAGCTGCTCTAGGAAGCACCAGTTTTCATACTGGGATTGGCAGGGACCATGCCATGGACGAGGGGTTTCTTGCCAAATGCTTGGCTTTGTGGAGTTCATCATAATGTGGTGATCTGTGGCACAGTAAATGTAATTTTGCTATCTTTTAAGTTTCTAGCTAGGTAAACTGTAGTTCATTACCTTACTGAATACTGAAGACATTTAATCTTGTAGGAGGTGACAAGCATAGTGAAACTGAAGGTTTTGTTTAAATTTAACTAGAAGCTGAGGGGAAGCCTTCACCTGTTCTCCTAACTAGAGTCAGCATTGACTGAAAGAGAATAAAAGCTTTACATGACTCACCAAATGGATGTATTTTTAAATCATTTGTGGCTTTTTTTCCACTTTGCTTTAGATCCAGGTCTTAGAAAGCAGTGTGCAAAGAAATTACACTCTTTTAATTAAAAGGTTTATGCAATCTTTTTTATTCTCTAAGGATTCATCAGATTTTTCCCATTTCACTGATTTTGAGGGTTGTGTAAAATGGTTGTTTTCATTGACTTCACTCCTTGAAATGACTACAGGTTTTCTTGGCATACATATTTTCTCCTGCTGTTAACCAGAATGTGTTGGGCTGTGGAAATCACTGAAAGCTACAGAAACTAACAGCAAGAAAGTCCCTTTTTTAATTCTCTGCATTATGCATTCTTAAAGACAAATATTTTGTGCAAAATGACCGGTTTCTACTACCACAAGATACTTCAGAAATACTTCAGAAGTAGTGCAATATGGCCCAGGCAAATCACAGGGATTTGATTAGTGCCAAAAACTGAATTTGAAATAGAATAAAATGAAGGCTAAGAGTCATTGGTTGCCATACCAATATGGTTATGATGGTGTGTGAAACATTGCATTTTATGTATTAATTAGGAGGAGGAGGAAGGGAAGAAGTGGAAAAGAAGGATAATATCATTAATCTTTCTCTCTTTTGGAAAACACAGAAAAAAAGATAAAGTGGGAATACTGCAAAAATGATGGCTCCAGCTTCTTGATAACTGATGCTTTATTGGTGTTGCAAGGCTGCTATTAATTTCCCCCAAATTCTCCTCCAGGCTACTTCCATTAGCCTTAGCATTTTATTTCTTCTATCAGTAGAATTCATATATTGAACTAATGCTAAAAAAAGACAGACCTTTGTTTTCCTTTACAATTAGTATTAGGATACAAATATATCAACCACTTGGAGCCCACTGATTTTAGCAACTGCAGGTCTGAATCTGAGGTAATTTCATGGAGACTTAAAAAGTTAGAGGGAAAACTGAGGGCCAGGTAATAACCATCATCCAGCAATTCTGTGCAGCACCAATTTTCTTTCCTTCCTCACCTATCTACATGTCATTATTCATTCTCTTTTGGGATTACATGCCGATTCGTTTACAGTTTATATTGGGTGACGGAAGATAATATTAATTGATTCTGTACAATGGACATAATAATAATGTATGAAACAATAATGAACTCTAGTAACGCTATGTGGTTATTTTGTTCTTCCCCAGGTGTGAATAGCTCACCAGTTCCCATTAACAGGAACCTGGAGAAAGCCATGCCAGGAAAGGAGTCCCTTGCTGTGCTAGGTTATAATTTGTATAACCTTCCTTACAACCACATGAAAAGGAAATGCCACTTTTATCTGTTAGAGATAGTTCTTCATAACAGCATAAGCTGCAGATGGTTTCCAGGATCCAGCTGGGTGTAGTACTCAGGAACTTAAAGCTGGTCCCACTGGGAGCAAGAGGTCAGACTGTGGTTCTCTCCAGCCTGAATTATCCTGTGATTCTATAATGTTCTCTCTCCTGAATCAAAATATGGGGATTGTGTATATGTGTATTTACCAGTCACATTTGACTTAGGAAACATTGAAAATCCATTATAGCATTTTCTGTGTGGCTTCTCCAGTTCCATCACCTACTTTTTCACTGTGGCTTCATGGGACAATTTGACTGTAGAGATCTACAAAATGCACGAATACTTCCTGTTTTCTACATAGACTTAAAAAAAAATAAAATAAAAATCTGTGTTGGAGTTGGCCATATCTTGGTTTTGCTCTCTTTTTTTGGTCATTATGTAATAATACATATGAGAAAGTGCGTGTGAGTTTCTTATAATTACTTTCTCATTCAAATAACTTTTCTCATTTTGCTTCAAGTTATCATCATTATGAATGAAAATGTGAAACCACAACTCTTCTATAGGTGCATAGATTTTGGTTTCTGTTGTGGGGAGTTGGTGAGCAGTCAGCTGTATTCCTTGAAGAGTGCTTGCTCTGTTTCTTACATTTGTGACTTGTCTTTTAGGTGTTATGATTATGATATTTTTAATGTACTAATGGTTACAGACTGAGTTTTGGGGTGATATATTTCACACTTATTCATGCTGTTATTCTTTTATTTCAAATAAAAAGTTATTGATTATCAGTTTCTTCAGGTAAATTTTTAAGACAAAAACTATTTCTGATCATCAGCTCTGCCTGTTTTGCCAAGGAATTTAACATAGTCAGTGACATTGATGTCAGCAAGAATAGCATTAAGGGAGCAGGATTTAATTTACTTGGCTGTAACAGAAGAAGTCAGAAATAGCTTTAGCAGTTAAATTACTTGTGGCAAAATTGTTTGTTTATGTCCCTAATATTTCTGTGGTGTACTTTTGAATGATAGATCATTTAAGATGACTTGTTCATCTGAAAGATTAACATTTTACCAATATTCAGTTACCTTATTCCATATTCTTGTTAGTGTAAGAGGCAGTTTAACTGAAAAATGAATGCTAATAAAATGCCTTTTTAGTAATTCATTTTGAAAACCATTTGACCTCAACTACAATGAAAGTAGACTGTAAAAATCATCATAGATTCCCTTCCTCGAACTTTTCATAATACTGAAAAATGACTGAGGGAAAGAAGCAAGATCCAGTTACTGTACCCTGTTTGCACAGCTGTACTTCATTGAGTGGAGGCTTGTGTTACACACAGTTTGTGATAGGAAGTAAATGCTTTTAAAACAACTAAGGAGACAGGTCTTTAACCTCCACCTTTTCAGATGCTTTGTTCACTCATTTAGCTTCTGTCGAGGTCTTGGGAAACATTTCAAATACAAATTATTACTGAGTACTGAAGCTCACCTGAATAATTCATCTCCTAGTGAGCTTATTAGGCAGAGATGCATTAAGATGAGGTTGGAGGGGTTTTGAGAGAGATCACTAATTCTTGATATAGTGAACACTTGTTCCTTCAAGAACAAATGCATTTAAAGAAGGAAGAATGCTTAGGTTTAGTGTCAAGTGCCTTATGATAGTTGAAATTACAATTTTATTTCAGCAATTGTAAGGATTTTCAAGTACTTAAACACATTCAAAAATGATGTTGTCATGTAAATTACCGGACTGCTAAAATTAATTAGATTTAAAATTCTCGATTTCTAGCATACAAAACTTTTACCTTCTGTTGCAAGACTGTCTAGTCCCCTGAGATGATGAAGACACCTTGAGATTCATTAAGAGGAGTTTTTGGCATTACTTCACGCTGCAAGTGCATGTTATCACCAGACCTATACTATTTGATGTAAGCTTGGCACCAGATAATTTCAGGACTTTAAATACACATTATAAGATCACTCTATGAATGCAATTCTAATATCTGCCAAAGGCACTTTTCTAATTGCTCTAGTGAAACAAGTCAGTGGCAAATGGAGTGTGCAGCTGGCAGACAGCCAGTTACGTTTTAATTTCTGTAATCAACTGAGGCTTTGTGTACATTTCATCCCTGGAAACACATGTGACCTTAAATTTAGGCTTATGCTAAATAGGCATTATTTGGGCTTCATTAACCACCCACTTTTTAATTTTGCTATAATTAAGGTCATCCTTGTAGCTATAGATGTGATGGCCCTAAACTTTTCTATCTTAACCTCCCACTTAAAGTTGTCCAGATACCAATATACAATGCGGAGTGGTCACCCAGATCTGCATTTAATAAGAAAATAGCTTGAAATACAGTCAGGATTTTGAAGTATTCTTCACTGAAGCACATTAGAGGTGTTGTGCCTTCAGAGGACGTGACTGATGCTGGTTTTGCCCTTATTGCGGCAACTTTTTTTGAACTGTAACACAATAGAGACACTGGTCTCCTTTGGCTGGGTCCGGAGTTCCAGCAAGCGGACGTTTGTTTTTTCCATTTGTCACTGTGGTCTGTGGTATCAGTGGGCTTGAAGATTTACGCCTTCCAGAAAACTGTAAGCATAACAGCAGACACCAGTTAAGTTGTTTAAATTAGAAGTGTAAGATTTTTTGAACATTTTGTGGCCCCTTCTGGTTGTAAAATATATATAACTTTAGTTAAGAAATACAGGCATGAAAGCATCCTCAGTCCTTGTCTCTCTGAACTCCTGAACAGAGCTCCTACTGACTCATGTTATCAGGGCTCAACTCAGGATTTCTGGCTGTGTAACTCTCATCTCAAGCATTCTTCTGCTCTTCCAGCAATGATTTGAGTTCTTGCCACAGCCTCACCTTCCTCGGCATTAAAGCTACACTGACTTGTGTCAACTTACCGACATTTAAGCCAGCCTACCCAAGCTCACTTCTGAGAATCAGGTTTTATTACCTGCTATACTATGGCAAAATAGCAAAGTGTAAGTTGGGGGATTAGTTGCTTCTAGGTTATGAAAAAAGTCCTTGGCAAACAAATGTTGCTTTGTTCTCTAGTACACACCTTATTAGTAATTATGTGTTTTGCAGAGGTTAATATACTGTGGGCAGTGCACCAAGTATATCATAGTTCTGAAGACTGCAACTTATTGATGGTCTTGAGACAATCTGTACTACAGAGGTGCACCTCCTGGGTAAGTTGCACAAGATTTGACAAACAAATGAATATCAAGAAGATGTAGCAAAAGTGAAAACATAGTGTTTATTTTCCTTCAAAGAAAACCCTCCTTTTTTTTTTTTTTTTAAGATATTTTGACCCTGAAAGCACAGAAGTTGAACCTGAAGAATGTGAGAACCATAAGCTTTAAAAAAGCATTCATTAATGTTTCTACAGCAAACTTGAAAAGAGATGCAGTAGTAGTACTTCTTAAAGTAGCCTTTAAGAAGACTAAATATAGCCCTGCATTTATATTTTCATAACTTTTTTAGTAAAATTAGGCAAATTTTTTCATTCAGTTATTCACGCATAAACACAGAAAAAGATCAGAGTATAACTGTTCTAGAGTACGTCTGTGTAACTGAAAGGAGCAGGGAGAGAAATAATTTCTAGAGATTGCTTTGGACATGCAAATGTATGTATTTGTCTGCTTATTCATGTCATGTGTCAGTACTCCAGTAAGGGCAGTAGGCCACTACTTTTACCTAGTGTTATTTCAGATACGACCTATTTTAAATGTTGAGCTGCGTACACATGTAATATAAATCAAGACGAGTACTCATTTACAGATTTAAAACCTTGTATTTCCAAATACATTCATAAATGTAGCATACTATTCGTGTTTAGTTTTGGGCCCAGGATAATTGGGTTCTGCTGATTTCCTCATTTCGGTTATATGTTCTTGTTTGACTTAGGTTTGTTTTTTTTTTTTACTCAGATTGTAGTTTCTTTAGTTGTTGTTTTTTTGGGTTTATTTTTTTTAATATTTTAGAATTTTGTATTTTCAGAATTAGAGGTCAAAAAACCTCAATATTCAATGTATTTCTGTATATATAAATGCTCTTCTCCAATGGTGTACAATACGAGTGGTGGAGGAAACCCACAGTCTTCTGGGAATCTCAACAACTAGCCTATGAGCAAATGACTCAAAGCTAAGCATGTGTGCTCACACATGCAAATCCAATGTACCTCCATTAACTTCAGTAAAGTTAGTCTGTATTTGTGCTCACATATCTAAGCATGGACTTAATCTGTTGTTTATAACTGGTTTAAGCACATAACATTAAATGAGTTAAACCGCTAGGTTAAAAAAAAAAAAAAAGATCATTTATTCTCCTGCAACTCGTGAAACAGATTCTGTTTCTTAGATTTGTTTCTTAGTCTTCTATGTATATTCTTGGGTTTTGTTTATTCAGAAAAGAATCATCTGATGTTAGGAGGAGTGCCTTAAATTTAAATGACCACAATGAACAATAGCGGAAGGGATGCATCTCTGTCACAATTCTGCTTCCTATGTAAATACTGCCATGTTAAAGATTTAACCTTTGCACATTTACCCATTGGGACCATATGTGCAAATGCTTAACAAAAACAATAATTCAGAACAGACAAAAAGCCTGTGTGTACATATGGGTGTGTGCACGAGCACTTTGCCTGCCTGCCTGATTTTGAGGATGATACCTCAGAGAGTATAAAACATTCAGGAAGGCCAAGATGTCTATCCACCATAGATTCTGAAGACTCTCCTCAGGACCACACTGGTATCGCTTGGCAAATAATATATGTACATTAAAAACTCATTTGCTTTGAGCAAAGGGAAATGAACCTAGGAATCCATAATACTTTTGTGTGCAGTGTTTTTTTCACCAAGTATCTGGTATTAGCCAAAACATTTGGTTAACGTAAATATTGATTTATCTTCCCCCAGAACGTTTAAGAGGTATTCCAGTTTTCTTTCTCCAAAGCCTTACTGTACATGAACAGAGTTCTTGCTAATTCTTATAGCACTGCTATTTTTCTAGACTTCCAGACTAGTCCAGAACCTCACAAATCCATCATCCTCAAAGCTGAAACTCAGTGAAGCCTTTAGTTAATCTTCCTTTGTTGTTGCTGAATGTGTACTGTTGAATGCAGTTTGACTTCCAGTTTTGTGGAGGCTGTGAGAAAATTGTAGTGGATGGTGTGGGATTGTGGGACTCTTCTGCTGCCAGCTGTGTATGTGTTTTAAGTTAAACATTATAAGATAAATAAATCAGCATATTAATCTGTGTGGGTTGTGCTCAAGCTGATTGAAAAGATATGAAATGAAAGAAGAGAAAAACATGCTTTAAGTACAAGCAGTGGTACGAAGTATACTCCTGAGCTTGAACCAAGCGTGTATTGCTTCATGTCATTTGCACACATAGTGTTTCTATTACTTCAGTGAAGGGGACATACAGAGGCAGACCTGTTACGACTGAAGGTGGTTTTGAAGCCCATTTTGTGGGGGAAAAAAAAAAGTGGAAATGTATATTCATTTTCAGGAAGACATCAGCAAGCTAATACTTTATAAATTTTTGCTTCTGATGAAACACTTAGCTTAAGTGTAATTGTGAAAGGGAAGAGTTGCATATACACCTTGAAAAGCTATAATTTAATTCTTTGAGTACCAGTTCTCAACTTTCCTCTGAGGGTAAGATTTAATTACAAATATTAAATCCATAATAATTTGATAGCTTTAGACTATACATTTCAATAAAGGATTGAACTATGCCTTGCTGGTTTAAAAGCACTGGAAACATCTATATATAAATCTGCAAAGGGAATAGGTAACACCATTCTTTTCAGCAGAGTCACAAAGTTCACTTCTTATCTACTGAGGAGCCCGCCAGGTCTGGGATCTGTAAGGGGTAGGGTTTTTTTCCTACCCTTTAACTCCTGCAGAATCAACAAGTATAACCCACGTGAATTAGCTGTGAGCAGCTGCCCCTTGCCCCTCTGTGTCCTCTCCAGTGAGCGTTGGACACATCAGCAGGTGGCCCCAGCATGGAGATGGGGCTCAGCACAGGAAACTTGGCCCTCTGCTAAACCTCAGGAGTTTCCAGTTTTTCCCTTTCTATTGTGGAAGCATTTATTAGCTTTTACTTATAAATGGGAGAGAGAGAGAAGTAGAGTCTGCCCATGTCAGAGAGCGTGCAGCGGACACACACCCTTCAAAAGGGGCAATGCCTTAAGTGTGAAGGCACACAGCTGCAGTGCAGCAGCCCCAGATACAAATCCCTCTCCACCCCCTTGCTGAGTGCCTTTCCCATCAGGTTATCAGTTATTGCAACGCTCTCTCAATCTCTGTCCCTGAATCCACAAGTGGGAAAAGATCTGCGAGTGTGATAAACATTTTTCTGCAGTTTTGACCAGAAATTCCATCTTGGAGCCAGGAAAGCTTTTCCTCTACAGATTAGTGAAAGCTGGCACATTCACTTGAAATGTTTTGATTTGGTGAATTGGCATTTCCAGTGAAAAACTAATGATTTTATTGGGTTTTTTTCTGACATTGATCTGTTGTTTCAGTGGAACCACAAATAGGAGAAACTAAATCTTTTGTTTAGGAGAGATTTTTATTCCTCTGTGGGTTCTGCTTCTGTAAATGATCTTTGAAATCCTTAATCTGTACAAAATAAAGCTTACATTGCAAGGAAATATGAGGTGGTTAGGAAATCATTCTCCTTCGTCAATCTCAAATCTACCTGTAGATTTAGATAAAAATTCCCTCATCTCACCACTTTGCAGAGAAATCCTAGTACTCATTGTGAGAAGTAGTATAGAAAATAAATATAAAGATGATCCTTCCTTCCCCTCTGAGTCATCTGTAAATACCACTAAATTGCCTCTGATACTTCTAGAAAAAAAACATAAAATTTTTAATCCTGCTTTCAGTCCTGCAACCATTTCCATGAATAATCTGAAAACTATGTTTGGTTTTTGGTTTTGATTTGGTTTGGGGTTTTTTTAATCAACTTCCTTTCCATTTCCTTTAAATTGCCATTTTCTTCTGATGTTATCATGCCATTACACAGGTACAATTAATAATAAGAGAAAACTAAAGTAGCTTTACTTAAATGTGGCCATGTGTCCTACTCCTTTGTTGTCATCTTTGTAAGATCACCTTTGAGAAAAAACATGACAGCCTTTTGGCTGTTGTGAGACAAATATCTCTCAGGTTAGAGGAAGGAGGAAAAAGGAACTTGGAAAAGACTGACTTCATGACAGTGTTTAGGCCATTTCTTCTAAAGCATGGGAGGTTTGCACTACATTTTTGTTTCAGAGCATGGTTTGTGGGTTTGAAGGTTGTGGAGTTTCCATTCAGTTTTTTTCTGCACAAGGCAGTTTAATCTGCATTTTTAATTTTTAAAGAAGTCTCATGCACATCTCTACTCCAGAATTTCATGCTTAAGTGTCACATGCCCCGATGGCATTTACTAGCTCCCACCTTAGGTAAGAGTTGCTGTGAGTTTTTGTGAGTTTGCTTAGATTGAGTGATTAAATCTGCAAATTTCACCTTCCAAATATATTTTTATTCTATTTTATAAATGTTATGCAAACTCTTCAGCTTTTAAGGATCAGACTGATTAAAAACAAAGTAGCTGTTTACATCATTTCCCCGAAGTTTCAGAAGCTCAACATAATCCTTCCACCACAATTCCTTTACTTCTTGGAAAAGTACTTCGAACACATTCAACGAGAAATGCTCCATGTGCAGTTTGTGGGGCAGCTTTGATCTGTGAAGCCTTTGAATGGAGTTTTTGAAATCACAGCTGCCACAGGCCTATCAGGTGATACTGCAGTGTCATAAGGGTTTCTTTCTTGTGCTTCAGTCATTGTCAAGTGTTGCAGCCAGCAGACCAAACTGGGATTGCAGGGCCTTAGTCCTCCATTGGCTCAAAACAGTGAGATGCAGCTGTGGTGACATTCTCAAAAACATCAGTCACACTGGGGATGGAGATGCAGATGTTTCACAATCCTGGTGTGACATCTTACCCATTGGGTAGGTCCTTTGACAAAAAATGAAGGAATAGTGACATTAAATATATGTGCAGACCTACGCTAAAGCAATGCCTGGCTCAGGAGGCCTGTCATGGCTATCAGATTGCTTTCTCTGATGTTCAAATATTTGATTTTTGTGAGAAGGACAGTAGGAACTTGAAAATGGATTTTACTAATTTTGCTGTTTCACAAGGAGCTCTTATCTCCTATCCAGATTTTCCCTGAGTGCTAAAGAGTTTTAAAGTTTGAAGATAGCTTCACTACTGCTTGGTTTAGAGAAAATCTCTATTTTAGGGAAGGATTAACTTTTTAATGCAGCTGGTATAATACAGTGTCAGGTAAAAGAAAAAGAAAAAAAAAGATAGGCCTTTTTCTGAAGAAAGCACACTGAGTTGTAACACATGAAGGTCTTAGAAGTCTTGTTCTATTGCTCAGCCAATTAAGCAATTAATGGTGAAATTCCTGGCACTCAGCATCTTTGCTAAGTAAGCAGTTTTCTGAAAGCGTTTTCATGTTAGCACAGCTTTAGAGCTCAGCAATGTATCGGAGCTTCAAGGGAGATATCGTGAGGGATTTATAATTAACTTTGAAAGCCACGTTGCCTTGACGTTATGGTGCTCACACAGGGAGTTTGATTGGAAAAGCTATAGTGTTATAAATTCACACCTTGCTTACTCTGTGACAATTCTCTCCTATAAGTGAACCCTTCATGTGAAGGATATGTTATTACCTGCTCCATATAGTATGCAGAATAAACATCTAGATTTCTGAGTTCTCTTCTTGTTGTTTCTATTTGCTCAATATGTATGACTTTTGGGAAATCACTTTTGCATCAGTTTATGTCTCATTTGCTATAGTACATCAAGGAGTAATATAATAATCAGTATCTATTCTCTGTCTACATTATGGAGGTATTAGAAGAAGCAATTATCTTGTGTAGTGCTTTGAGCTTTTGAGATCATACTTTGTTATATCATCACAAGTTTAGAATTATGAATCTAATGTATATTTTCTTTCTCATTTTTCAGATTTTCAACTTGCCTATGTCTCTTTTCATTCCCCCATCAGTGTTTGCTGTTCATCTACAGTTTAATCTACCAGTTTTGGATACATACAGAGGTAAACCAGGTTTTTAAGCCATACCTAAACAGTTAGCCTGGAGCAGTGTCCTGGAAATCCACTAGCAGCTGATTTATTGTGTAAGAAAAATCTTTGTCTGACTTCTTTAAGGAGAAACATCTGCTCATTTTTATTCCTTTTTCTGAATATATATTGCTAAGTTTATAAGAAGCAATGAGGCCAGTTGGTCCCAATTAGATTTAAAAAAAGAGCAACTGTAAGGCATCAAAACTTTTTGCTATTTTAATACTATATTTTCCTATCTTGCAGCTTATTAAATGTTTCTGGCAGATACTGAAACCGATTTCATTTCTAAGATAAATATTTTAGGGAAAAGTATCCAAACCCCAGTGCCTCTTAAAGATCATTTTAGAGTTTCAACTGAAGTCAGATATTGTTTCCTTCTTAGTGTGAGTAATTCTCAGATGACAAATGCTCTTTATCTGATGGCTATTTTTTTATGAGTGCACCTATTTATTTGTTTCATGAGTGCATAGACCATATCTAGTTTACATATATATACAGTTAATAACTCACTGTAATTAGTACGTAGTTTCCTCCACTTCTTGGGTAGTTGAATGGCCTTCTGCTTCCTTGATCTACAGTAGAGGTGTTTAAAGGTATCCCATATTATAAGGCAGTAGCATATTTCTCAGTAACCCCTAGTGGGCTGTGGGCTAATTATCTCAACAAGACTTACTCCTTTGATTATTCTGACTATACATATGCCTTTTTTCCTCTGTAGTTTCCTTATGTGATTTATAGGACAAGTGTTTCGAAGGCATTTTTTTTCTTTATTTGCTATTCTAAGTGAGCATGTTGCTCAAATTACTTTCTCTTTTCTGTGTGTTTCCTGGGGGGTAGGGAATGTAAGGCAAAAATTTGAACACTTTGAAATTACACCAAATGAATACTCTGAATCGCATAGTAACAGTTTCTTTGCACATGCCTTAGATTCCCCAATTTGGTTTTACTGTGTTTTGCCACTAAGAAAAAAATAACATGCCTCATCTACATCTTCTCTGCTGTCTGAAGCCATTTTTTCCTTGGCTGAGAGGTTTTTAATGTTCTGCTGCATAGCAGTAGCTCAGTGAGTCTCAGCACTGGTGCCACAGTGTGTGTCTGAAGTTTCTAAAGTGTATTTCAGAGGCTCATGAATTTCCTACATCCCTTTAAAGTGCTAAATCCTTCACAGGGCTTAAAAGGAATGTCCATAGCATATGTGCAATGTGCAAAGTTTAGACAGTAGTCTAAATAAGAATGAGTTTCAGTCTCAATGCAAAATAAGCACTCCTTACTATTAAATTATTGTGCCTGTAGAAAAACAGTGGATCTTTTGTACTGATCCAGTTGATCCAATCATAGATCTTTGTTTACAAGGGATGTTATTCTTAATGTTGATAATGTTGATTTTATAGCACAGCTGAAATCAGTTGAAATATGTTGAATCATGTCAAAATAGAAATAGGGTTACAACATGTATTAGCAGATTTCCTGCTCTCAAAGGGCAAGGGCATAACAGAAAAGAGAAGGGGAAGGAAAGGAAATAGTTGCAGCTATTGCAGCCATACAGGTTTATATGGGCCAATATTTTTGTTGAAATTAATATGATGCTTCACCATTATACTGGGTTGTTGGGTTTGTTTTTTTTTTTTTTACAACTACTATTACAATTTAACTGCTTAAAGCTGTGGCATCTCTATTTTTTTTTTTTTTTCTATCAGCACTTTTTGGAATTTGAGTGGTTCTAATTGTCTTACACAGCCTATGGTAAAATGGAAATCCTTTCTGTAAGTCTCAGTTTCCCAACATAAGAGGTCCGTTTAGGGCTGCAGGCCTGGGCTTATATAGAGAACCTAGCTAGCAGCTCAACTGCTGCTAGCCCTTGCTCTGAGAGCTGAGATTCATCATCCCCCAACACCAGAGGACATCCCATCGTGGCTGCTGTTGCTGGGTGACAGTACATGTCATTGGGGGTCTGGTGTAGATATGCTTCATTGTATCTATTCTGATATTGCAAGTTGTAATAGTTTGCATCTAAAATGCAGGAGCATTTGGTAAGAAATGTTAAGTTTGTCCTCAGATTTCTACTGCTCTTAATCAGTGTCAGTGTTTCCTTCAGTAAGATTTGGCCCCATATTGATTGGTCAAGTATGATTGGAAATTGTAACTTCACAACTTCTGATTACACATCTTTTTCCTTCAGAAAAAGAAAATCTAGTAAGATACAAGAAAAAAATATTTAATAGGTAATTTTTTGACATAGCATTGAAAATCTTAATAAAGCATATGCACAATTATTGTTTTATAAAAGAAAAAAACACTGTGATATTTAAGTAATAGGAAAGAATGAATGCTTATGAGGGAAGATGTTTAGTTTTGGGACTAATTTAAATTGAATTTGGTAATTACAAGAGAATGATCACGTTGTGCTGAAACTTTCTATGCCATTTTTCAGCCTACAGCAAAAGTTCATAGCCCTGATAGTTTCCTATACTTTAATTTTGAATGTAGCTATTGTTTCATATAATACTAAGAGAAGTTTCATGTGTTATAACTTTGATCTTCTCCAATATTTGTTACATCAGTTTTTGTCCAGCTTTTCTACCAGCAGATCAGACATGGTCTATTTTATTTTAACTCAATTGGCTCGTATATTACTGTGAAGAGGGCATACCAAATCATAAAGATCAAAAGTAGTCACTCATTCTATCTCAGATTTCTTTATGTCCTGCATACTTGGTACGCATTAGCTTTTGGCCTTTAATGTAAAATAGTACAGTGTTTTAAATACCATAAATCTTACATAAACATTATACTATACCATTCTCTTGGTGCTGGAGATCTTTTATTACTACTAAAATCAGAATGAGCTATTGATAATGGAAAGGCATTTCTGTAATTATTAAAGAAGGGTTGGGTGTTCTAGAGTAAAAACATGACTTTGTGACCTAAGTTATGCATGTGCACTTAACTATATTCTCCCATTAAAAGAATTTTTGCTGTCTGAAGTCCACATTTTTTTTATTGTTCTGTGCATTATTGCACTGTGTACATGGCAGTCTGAAATTATATCAGAAATTTGCCAAAGATCTTTTAAAAATATTTGAGTAGCAACAAGGTATTGAAATAAATTCATATATATTTAAATAAAAAACAAAACAAACACAAAACAAACAAATACCACCAAACTAATAAAGCAGCAATAAATAAAAAACCAAAACAAGTGAAGAAAACACTTTTATGCAATGGTGCATAAAGTTAGGTGGTATCTAAAAGACGTATAGATGTGGCATGTAGGGACGTGGTTTAGTGGTGAACTTGGTAGTATTATGTTTGTGGTTGGACTCTATGATCATAAAGGTCTTTTCTAACCTAAATGATTCTGTGAATCTATGGTCTCAAATCAAGAGAAAACTATTTTTAGTCCTATCCAGTACTGTTTAGGTCAATGGAATGAATCAGTAGATCTGGTCTTAAATGGACTGGGAGAAACGTTTCTATAACTAGACCATTCTCATCTAGATCATGAGGGGAGTAGAAAAAAATACTTCGGTCAAAGAGCATTAAAAATCTAATTTTTCAAAAGCCACAAAATGTTTCAGGACTGTTACTGACAGACAGAAATACTCCATTTCAGTTTCACAGGTGATTCAGAAGGTCTATGGCTCATATTAAACTATATCCTTCCATTATGCATTTATTACAACCAATAAGTTAGGTGTGTTTATAACCTGATAGACACCTGTGAAAAACAGAAATTAGTTTCTGTTGGTTTAGCTGTAATTTTTATGAGATGTCAAAATGTATTTGGAAAGTATCAACTGAATCAAACCCTGATGGTGGTAATTGCAGCAGCAGATTATTCCTTGCCTGTTTGATCTTTGACATGCATTAGTTTCTGTTTAATTTTCTAATTTAAGGAAAGACTTTAATCTGCCCTTTACCATACTCATGGAAGTCAGGTTTCTTAAGGCATCTCTTTTCTCTTGTTTAAGTCTTTCTACCTCATCAAACTCTGGGAGCAGAAAAAGGTGATCCACTACTATTAAGCAGGAGTAACATGCGTGAAAACAGGCAAAGAATGAGAAAAATTTTGGCAACAACTCACGCAGGCTGGAGAAAAAGATGTGAAATTGCTACAAATACAGGCCAAAATACATTTATTTTTGTCAGAAACCACCAACTGAGTAAAACTGAAACTTGCTGTGGAAGTATATTGTATTTGTCAAAAAATATTTTGTACTTATGTGCAGTGTGTACTAGTCTTAAGTTTCTGTCTATGACTTGTTTTAGCTTTGACTTCTCAGTTTTCTTTAATGAAAATCTTTGAAACAGAGAGAAACTGTGGAGGCTTCATGCTTTCATGAAAAGTAATTCTATTCCTGGCAGGAATCCATGCACAGCTCACCAAAAGTCCCTGAGTACAGATGAGTTGTTGTGGCCCAATCCTGAAATCCTTACATCAACCAGCTCTTACCTAGGAAGATGGCCCAATTCAGAAAAAGTCTTCTATGGGTTTTTTGGGGTTTTTTTTGTTTGTTTGTTTGTTTGATTTTTTTCCCCCAAATATGAGCATAATGTCAATAAGGAAATTGAACGAGCAAATTAAAGAACCAAGTAAATTTAAGTAAAATAAATAAAAAATGATGTATTTCTTGGAAGTAGCAGTAGACATGTGATTACTGCAACAACAGCAAAAGCTGTTCTTGAAACTCTAGAGGGCACATGTGTCTTTTAAAGAAGAAGCTATTTGACACAAAAGTCTATTGGATGGCAGTTAAAGGAATCATAAAATCTCTAGGACAGTGTGATAAATAAGTGACAGCATGAGATAATAGATAAAATAGTCATTAATTCCCAGGTCCTAACCATTGAGATTGGTCCTCTATTTCTCTGCAGGTTTTATTTTTCCATTTTCTTGGACCTACCTTATCCACATTGTGTGCTGTAGTCTCATTTAAATAAACAAGGAAGGAATGCAAAAGTAAACAGTTGTA